TAAATATAGGCCTTAATCTTTTCAAGAATCCCTTAACAAAGTCTATAAAACTGATTATATCTTCAGGCCCAACTCAAGAGCAAATTCTTACTCAGAAATAAGTAACAGCCCTGCAAGTATTACTTGGGAGACCAGGACAGGGACAAAGAAGGAGAATGCAGAGTACTGGTTTGAATCCCAACGTCTTGGAATACAAATTACATTGCATTTAGAATAAACAATTAATGAGGCAGCGGCAGCCTGGGCTACAGGTCCATTTTTCTGAGGGAGAAACAATTTGCAGAAGCGGTCGGGGCGGGATGCAGAAACAACTGCACCATTCCTTTTAACACAACAGAAATGCTCTTTGATTATTTAAAAGCCAATTGCAAAGATCTGTCTTCAAAACCTCCTATTGCAGGTTTAATAGCAGAGAGGTGCAAGTACACTTACCAGCAACACTGGAGTAAAGTACAGACTTTTGTTTTAACAAAATCTATATTTATACGATTACATTTCCTATGGTTGAGGGCAGCTGTAATTAATGGATTTCCCTCCTTCCCCTAATGCAGTCATTTGTCAATTTAAACACAGAATGCCCAATCAATTTTGATGTATTTAGTAAGCAATTTGTCAGAGTACTGCATACCAGTTAATATATTAATTCTTGTCACTGGCCCACTCCTGACAACTGCAGGTTGTGTCCACAAAATTGGTCCCGATGAGCCAAAACTCTTGCCTGGAACGTGAAGGTGCCCTTTCCAGAGCCAGAGGAGAGAAATCAGATCTCAGTTTATTCAATACCTTCGTGGGGCAGTTTTTGGTCTAATTCAGGGGATTTATTCATTAATGTGTTAGTTGGCCACCTTTCAGATATTGCAAGTCCTGTCCAGCCCTCCAGTGCAATGAAAAAGTGAATTCCAAGTGGAGGGATAAGGAAGGGAGGAAATGAGAAGAATGAAACAAGGATGGCAGACTTTCTGCTGTGATGCCAAGTTCCCTATTTCCATGGAAATTCCACTGTGTGCCAGGCTCGTGTCTGTGTGGATTCAAATGTGCCAGGTTGGACAGGGCCTGGAGCAACCTGGGCTGCTGGAAGGTGCCCCTGCCCATCCTCACAGCATCCTCAAGAGTTTATACTGCCAGAACCATCCTAATTCCTAAGTATCAAACAGCTGGAAGAAAGCAGGATTTAATGACAAAACTTGGCAGTTCTCTGGAGGAAGCCAAGTCCTTTCTATTTAAAGTTCCTGTGGACACGAAAACCTCTCCTGTGCACGTGTGTAGTGCCTTGCATGACTCTCCTCCCACTGCCAGGTCTGCTAGGAGAGTCTAACTACATCACAAGATGCTATTTATGCTAGAGAAAAAACAATCAGGAAGAATAAAATGTGACTTAGATTTCCTTCTTCTGCTGTGCTTAGATTTAGAAGTTGCTCAAGACACAGGGAGGGAATACCAGAGACACAAATAAGCTAAAATACTATGTATTAAATCAGAAAAATATCTGAGTCCTAACACCCAGCACTGAGGACCTGAGGATTGTAATAAATCCAGGGTTTTGTGGGATGAACTCTTACGGAGACAACAGCGAGTCTGGAATCTGCTCTGTGAGAAGTGAGGAGGTCTCAGGATGGGATATTTTCACACTGACCAACTGCAGAAAGCCTGAAACAGTTGGCAGCAGGATCCTGACACTTCCTGCAGGCCAGCAGGTTGTGGAATTCTACATGCAAGTTCACTTTCAAGCCATGAAGGGTGCAAATCTCCTGCTCCCCACTTTCTCCCCTGTGCCCAGCCCTGACTGTGCTAATGAGCTCAGGTAGACACAAACTGCACACTCTCATCCAGGTTTCTGCAGCAGATGTCCCAGATGACCCCAAAGCAGTGGAACAGCTGTGCTGATCCACTTACAAATACCCTTGGGATAAAGGTCTTGGACACTTGTTGTACAAAACCTTCCTTCAAACAATGGCTCCTTGTTCCTTCCCTCCGAGCTGCGAATGCAACTTCGAGATTCTTCAAAGCCATTAAAAGCTGAGCTGGGTGTCAATAAATGGTTTTTAAGAATATTCACTGGTCAGCACAAGAAGCCACCGGCCTGGTTTATACTTTTGGAGAGGCTGAGGAAGATTTCTGGCCCCGTGTTTTGGCACCAAACCTCTCCTTTATGGAAGGCTGCCCGTGCAGCCCCGCGAGCAGCCCTGCCAGACGTCTCATTGTTCTGCCGGGCTGCTGACAGAGGTACTCTGTGCTAAAAAGCACACTGAGGGTTTTTCAATGACCCAGGGGGGGCAAAGGTCACTTATTATAAATGGATAATGAGACCTAATGCAATGTTCCGAGTGTGGACAAAGAAAGGGTCTATCCATACCCCCTTGTGACTTGGTCATTCAGGCTTTTATTTCCCCTGCACACTTAATGGAGCCCAACAATTGGCAGAAATGCTATACAGGGCCGGGGAGGAACTGCTGTGTTCCACCTCGGGGACACATCCAAGCAGAGCCCCTGGACGGCGCCAGGGCTCTGGAGCATCCCCCCAGCCCCTGCTTTAGCCACCTCCTGGCAATTAAAGGCCCTGATGGAAGCAGGAGCACGTGGAAGCCCAGGCTGCAGGTCCTGGCAGAGCTGCAGGAGAGCAGGGCCACAGGACCCGGGGCAGCAGTTATTTACCAGGTGTCTTGGGCTCTGCTCTGGGAAACCTGCTCTGACTCCTTTTTTTTTTCAGGAATTTCACTGAGTGGAGTCATACTGAACCAATCTGAAGACACACACAGATTTCTCTGTTATGCCATTTTTAACATGTCCTTTAGATGATTTTCCGTGTTTATTATTCTGTTTGTGTTTGGTGTTTATTATTCTATTTTGGTGTTTATTATTCTGTTTTTCTTTCCATTTTCTCTGCATTTCATAAAGACTGGAAGTGGCATCAGTGCCACGGTCTGGCAGATGAGGTGGTGTTGGGTCAAAGGTTGGGCTCAATGATCTCAGAGGTCTTTTCCAACCTCTGTGTGATTTTCATTAAAGAACTCCCATTATGTGAATTAAAACCCGAATAAAAAGTCACATAATTCAAATAATACAAGTTCATCATATTGTTGGAATTTGGCTACCCCTATTTCTTCTTCCTTTATAAAGTTTTCAGTACAAAACCATTTGAAATGTGCAGTATTTGAGCTGTTAAAAAAATGTTAATGAAAGAGAGAGTGAGCACCATCCACCCCTGATTTTAGACGTGGGATAAATGTGACCTGTGCATGTGATACTCACAGAAAGGCTTTTGTTCGGGCTCTGTCTTTGCAAAACACGGCTTTTAATTTCAACAGAAACTAAAAAGCAGACAAAGTACTTACACAAAATGTCCAGAATTCTCCAGAGAGCATCCTGTGCTCTTGGACCCACATGCAGTAACTGTGTGCTACATACAGTAATTTCTATATTTCTGTGCAGGGGAAATAGCTGAAACAATATGGATGGTAAAGACATCTAAAACTGGAGCAGAGAATTTGGGAAGGGTGAGGAGGGGGAAGAAATTTGCCCCAAGCAGGTGAGCTGCACAAATATAGGTTGTAGTTGTGAATTAAAACTAGTTTTGGAGACTGTCTGAAGACCACTCAGCAGCAACAAATGCACAAGCAATGGATCAAAATATTAATACCAAAATAAATTATCATCAGTACAAGCAGATTGTGTGGCAGCAGTTATTTAAAGTACAACATGAAATTAGACTTATGCTCTACAGTTAACAACATCTATTACATGCTTTGCCATAAATTACTAACATACTTGTTGACATGATTGTACTCCGTGTTTCAAAATATTCATATGAAAATTCCAGTCCAGGTTTGCACACCTCATTTTTGACAGGCTCAAAATACAGCCTTGCACTGACCTTGGAGCTCCCAGCAGAACCCTCTTACTTAGAAGTGGAATTAAAATAAGTCAGGGATTGAGCAAAAAATTCTACCCAAAGTGCAAATCTAATGGTGCTGTGCACTATTAATTACTTTTTCATATTCTTGTCCACCTTTTGAGTTTCATTCCTATCTTCTGTGCAGCACAGGAGGAAGAACCTAACCCTGCAGGTTTCCAAACACCCTGGGCTCGTGCAGCAGATGCACAGGTAGAAGCAACAGCTCAAATCTGGCCCCAACATCCCTTTTTCCCAGTCACACCCAAACTGCCTCCTGGCCCACATGTCCACTGGCTGCATTTTAAATGTCCTGTCACAGCCCCTGCTGGCATTGGCTGCACTCACAACTGTGCAGAGGGTCTGGTTTCCCCAGGGGTCCCCTGACAGATGCCAAGAGTTGTTCCCTTGTGAAACTTGGACTGCTACATTGCTTTGATCCTGACTATACCCTGGATAAAACAGAGGCTTGCTACTCACTGATAGTAGTCTTCCCTTTTTTGAATTGTCAAATAAAACCTCACAAAGATACTAATTTGTCTGTAAAACCCAAACATGGGTTTGTAAAAAAAAAAAAATATATATATATATACACACACACACAAATTTTACCTATAGACATAGATATATAAATGTCTCTGGATATGCCATGCCATGCATATTGGCTCCCTGGGAATGATGTGGCTGGTGGAAGCAGTGCCAAGGTTCCTGAGGGAAGCAGCTCCCTGAGGCTCTGGTTGGAGGGAGCCCAGCAACCAGGAGTTCCAGGGGAGGGGGAAAATGCAGATGCACTCACTTGTCACTGAATTCATGTGGAATTCACGGGAGGAAATGGCAAAAAGTGTGAGAAGGAACGAGGTGAGGAAACCCTGAGGACTTCAGGGGATCCAGTGGGCCCTGCTCTCAAGCCAAACACTCCCATCTTGGCTGGGTGACAGCCTCTCAACTCTGCTTCATGTAAAAAATCCCAAAATTACATTCAGTGCTCCACACAGTCAGTTACACACTGAACATACACTGAAATTATTACAGGCTGAAAAACCAGCTCAGAAAGCCCCACTCTGCAGAAAATGTGCACATCAGACAAGACAAGAAGTTGTCAGCTACTCACAGCCAGCCAGAAGATACTGGTAGTACTGCACAGCATCTGCAGCCAGGAGCAGAGGATGGTTTGCATTAAATGGTGGTTGGAGCTCATTCCACTGAGGAGTTCTGAGGTAAAACACAAGACTATTAATATTTAAGCTAATACAGAGAATGTAAATCAGTGTTTCTGTCATCACATGCAATTATCTATACAAGCTCGCAAAATGTTTGTAATTATTTAAATTAGCTTGTTCAAACACTGCAGCACACCACAGGCAGTGGAGCAGCAGGGCCAAACCCTGCAGACTGTGAGGCAAAGACAATTCTTCTTTGTTGACTTGCAGCATGGATTGCACACACACACACCAAAAAAAAAAAAAAAAAACAACAACAAAAAAAACTCAAGAGGGAGGTTTAGATTAAGTTGGCAAATATGTTTAGGACCATTGTATGTCATGCTGACGTTATATAAACACACAACAGAAACTGGGGAACTTTTTTTGTTCTGTTCACCAGCACTGCTCCCACCCTGGGAAGTCATTGAGCACTTTACAAACTGTGAAAATAAAGCTGTGTAAAGTTAGGGGCTATTGATCCAATTAGAATTTTCAATCCCATTACAACCTACTCATTTCAACAATAATGGCCCCGAAGTCTGTGTTGTAATTTTAATTAGGGGGGGCCATTCCTAAATAGCTTGGTAAATCAAGTATTGATCAGTGCAGCCCAGCCCTGAGCAGCACTAAGGAATATGGGAGCCGAGGAAAATCGATAGGAAAATATTTTAAAACGTCAAAAGCACTGACGACACTTTCTCATCAATTTTTGTTTACTTTCCTCCACCTGTCAGGAATAATTTCTTCAACTGTCTTAAGAACTGCTACCTTCAGCTGGCTCCCAGGATAACTTGCCCAACTCTTTGCAATGCCTCAGTGTGGAAACCTCCCTCCTGTCTCACAGCAGAATTCTGTACTTCAACACCACTAAAATAATTGTTTCCGGTCCTCATATAAAAAGTAAATTACAACCTGATCATTTAAAATCACCAATTAATAAGGAGCTCTGTTGATTTGCAAATATGTTCATGTAGCTCCACGTCCACAGAAGTATTTAAATGGGACACATAAACACTAACAGAACTATATGGGATTTCCCATCAAGTGTCCCCTCCTTCAATGGAACACTTTAAGAGTCTTCAGGATGAGTTTTAAAATAAAAATATGAGTGATGCAGGTCATGGAAAAAAGAAAGATCACAACCACTTTCTGGACCAAAAGAAGGCAAAGTGAAAGGAATGAGCTACCTAACCAAAGTCCAGCTGGCTCTGGGGCAGGTCAGCATTTCCAGGGGGGTGTCATCACTGATTTTGGGAGCTGTGCTGAGGGGCCTTGGCTCCAGGACGTGCTCCACCAGGCTCCCATAACAGCTGATGATGTACAAGGACTCCACCACAAACTGCTTGGATTGATCTGTTTGCAAAAGGAAAGAAAATCTCATTGCAGCAGAACAGAGAAAAACGTTTACAGAAATAGCAGACTCTGCGTTCTTTTAAGTCTTTTCCTCGCTGGCAAAAAATGTGAATTAAAAGAAGTGAAAGGGCTGGAAAGACACAAAGAAAACTGTGCAAAACACACCATTTCCCCCTTGTTTCAAAAAAATACAAATATCTCATAAAAGAGAAAGAGGGTGGAACAGAGTTTCTTGCCAAGGTGTGTTCAGGGAATTCCCCACCCCCAAAATTTGTGTCTGGACATTTGCTTTAGCAGAGGTGTCTCACCTTTACCTTGCAGGCTTTTCAGTGCCCCTTCACACAGTAGCTTTGGATTGAACTACCAAAGTTTGTTTCCTGTCATTGTATCATAATAGAAGATCAGTGATTTATTTCCCTAATTAAAATTTCCTGTCAATTGTCCTGTCTACCAAAGCACCCCGATCCTGTACCCAAAAATCTCCTTTGTCAGGGAGTTCAAGGAATAAAATCCACACTGATTTCTCGGAACTTGTCACAAAATGAGAAAACAAAGCATTTAAATTTAAATTTAAATTTACAAGCCCTAATTCTGTAAGATACCCACCTTTTTCCCGCTTCAGACCGGAATTGTTTGCAAACCATGACCTTGATGATCCGAAGACTGCGGCGACACAAAACTCTCCCCCCACAGACTTACTGGGTGAGATCTGGGGAGCTGGTTTGGATTTGCTTTAAAAGAAGGAACAAAACAGAATTATACAAGTTAAAAATGAAGGTGACCCTTCCTTAACAGTCATTTTAACCTCTTAGTTCAGAAATGGTGACTCTCTGCAGTTCCCATAAGACTGAGCAGGATTTACAGATGCTCAGTGTCTCCCAGTGATAGGTCCCAAATTCCCCTGGATCACTGAACTTATTAACTGGAAGAACAGCACTGGCTCCTAATGGAGAACTGGCCTGTTTAAAAGACCCAATATTGAATATTTACATCCAACAGAAACAATTTCAGAAGCGAACACAAACGCTTGTAATCCTCAGCCCTTTGGGAATGAAAATACAGATTCCAGGGGAGCCATTCCAGGTGGTGGAGATTTTCTGGCATTTGCAAAAGAAAGTCAGGAATAACCTGGACTGCTGCTCAGTTCTAACTCAGCACAGCACTGAAACCACGGGATATAAGAAGGGGGAGAGGGAAAACATGCAGGGGATAAAGGGAAGGGAAAGATGCAACACTCACGAGCCACGTGTTAGAACAGACCAGGAATTATATCACAGAAAAGCAGATTAAGAGACATTCTCCTCTGCAACCACGATGTGTATGGAGCAGGTAAAAGGGTTTATATGGAAATTTTATATTCTGTTTTCCTGAAACACCACGCAGTGGTTCCTGCCCACAGGAACCTGCAGGCACAGAACACTCTGCTGTGCACAAACTCAGCACTGTGTCCAGAGCATTGCCTGTTTAAACCAGATTAAACCAGGATCCCACCCTTTCCTTAAGGGAAAAGCTGTCTGGGAAGTCCACACAGGATTTCTCCTTCTCCATTTTTGCTTCTTCTCCCTCTTTTTAATCAAATTATTTTATATTTCTCCATCTCTACTCTCTTTCCCTGCTCCCTTCTCTTGCTGCCTCTTCCTCCTTTCCTTTTTTCCTCTACTAATATATTATTTCTTATTTCTTCTACTAATTTCTTGCTCCACTCTATGTCAGCCTGTGATTACACCACATTAACCTGCTCAGTTTTGAGGAACAATCTTCAATTTTTAAGCAATGATCTTCAGAGAATGGTTCTGAGTGTGCATATAAATGTGTGCAGACAAATCACTGCAAGTGTTACAGTGCAATTAAGCAGCAGAAAAATACTTTGAAACGGCAGAAAACAATTTAAATGTTGCATAGTTGTAGTTAATTTATACTAAAATACCACACATACTAATAAATCACTCACACAGCAAGCCTATGTATCAGTTAGAAATTGAAACAAAAAAAGCTCTTTCCAAAGGAATTCAATCACATTGATCAGAGATCATGGAAAGGTTCAGACAAACTTCCATGGACTCGGATCAGACCTGAAGCTCTACAAGTAGGAGAAGCTGGAATGTCCCAAAAGAGCAATTGCAATTTATAGTCAGTAACTCTGCTATTGAACCACCACAAAGCACTTAATATCCAACTGTTAAACCTCCAGCTACACATGGCCGGGTCAGAAACTCTGGTCCAAAAAGTTCCTGACTCTAAATATATTTATTCCCTTGCTTGCAGTGGCACAGCACAATCTATATTAGGATATTTAAATTGATAGTGTGTTAACTAATAAGTGTTTTATTAGCTGGTCATAAAAAAACAAGAATAGATTTCTTTCACTTTGAAATAATCATCTGTCACACAAACAGCATTTTTAAGCAAACTGTACGTTGAGAACTATTTTAGCTCTCGCCTTTCAAGTGTTCCCACGCTAAAATTCCTTCAGAAATTAAAACAGAAATGCATCCACTAATTAGAGTCTTGTTACTGGTTTACACTTCAGTAAATGATTGTTTTTAGTAGAGAAGAAGATTGTTCAGAAGGACATTGTCATCCAGCAACCAATACAAGGCACACCACGAGCACAGGTCTCACTCAGCCACACTCAGTCTTAGAAACTCTTGACACTACACTCTCCTAATATTCTCAATATTCTCAGTTTTTACTCAACACAACCTGATGGATTTATGAAATTATCGTTTAAATTATTAAAATAACTGTCAGAGGTTCATAAAATAATTCAAAATGGGAAACAAAAAATTTGGAAGTAAACGCTACTCTCAGCTACAAACTGGAGCAAACTTCAGCAGAGACAGAACTGATTTCCATTCCTTCAGGCCCTGAAGCAGAAGTGAACCTGGGACTATGACAATACATTTTTCTTGGGTTCTCCACACTCTTGTGTTCAACCAAATCCAGTCACAAACACCCTTAGAGGAAATGGTCCAAGCTGGGTTCTATTTCCACCTTGTCTCTGAGATGTACATCTTTCAAGGCAGGCACTTAAGTGTTGGTTTCAGTGCCAGAACATTTTCCCTCGGAGGAGGATGTTTTGTAGGCAGAGAGAGCAGAACTTGTAAAACACAGATTACTCCAGTGGTTAAACTCAGCCCTGCTGGGAAACAAAGCAAACAAACAAACAAAAAACCCAGAACACCCCCAGTGCATCTATTGGTTTGGACAGAGCTCTGAAAATACTGCTGAGATGTCAACAAGTCTCTTCTGAAACCTCTTGCAACTGAGGGATTTTTAATTTTACCCCCATTTTCCTCCATCCCTGAGTTTTCATCAACACATTCCAGCTCCAGTTTCATCCCTTCAGCAAAGCTCCGAAGCCCAGCTATCCTCAGCCACTAGCAAAATACATTTTCGTGTCATGGTGATATTTTAACAGCTTGGAAACTATAAATCCTCGTTGTTCTGCAGATGCAAACACCCTCTCAGCTTTATAAATGATAACAAAACAATCATGTTGAAGGTGGGTGCTGAATGACTTGTTTCTGCTCTGAACTCCTGCTCTTTCCTTGCTCTTGGCTTGTCAGCACTTCATAAATTATTCCAAGAGCTGAAATTAAGGCACATTCGGCCTCACTTTTAAAAAACAGTTAATTTTAAAAGAATCTTCACAATACAGTAACTTCCAAAATGTTGTGCCAGAGGTTTTTCCTGAAAAGGGAGGCAGGAAGAAGCTCCCAGGGTGTTGGGAATCAACACTAAAACCAGGACAGCGAAGCAAATGGGACCAAAACATTCCCCATTATAATTTCAATCTTAATTTCTTTCAAACATTAGAAACAGCAGCACTACATGTAAGACATCAGAAGAATGAAAATGCAGTTTACTTTTTCCTCTCTGGTTCTACTCAACTGTGCAACTACACCTGGCATTCAATGAGACACAGCAGCAGTTTTATCCCAGTTGTATGTCTGCAGAAAACTCTACCACAAATACAACAATAATAAAACCACCTTTGAAATCTTGTCCTTTTAGCTCTTGCTCTGCTGTAAATTTAATAAGAGCTGTGTCTCCACTGCAGACCATGTCACATCACCTGCCCCTGCTGGAGTCAAAGTCACCTCCAAAAGTCAAGTTAATGCCAAAACCTGGCTCAATATCACAGGATCTGGGGAAATCTGTGCTGTTATTAATTTTTCTAACACAGCTCTGGAGGGTTATTTCCATTTTAAATGCAGAAGCACCGAGATGGAGACACAGACACGTCCAGGAAAAAACATCCACGGGCATTTTCTGCTGGAATGGCACAAAGAGAGATGGGAGGGAACTAAAGAGGAAAATTAAGACATCACTTGGTCAGAGCTTAAAAAGCAGTGAAGGGACCCAGCACAGCGTGGAAGTTCTTTCATGTTGCCAACACAACAAGAACAGATTAAGACCTATGGAAACTATTCAGTGCCACCACTTGTTGACTTTGTAACACACCAAACTCTGCCCTAATCTCTGGGAATGTACTGTGTTAGCTCTCTATAAAAATGCTAAACAGTTACAATATTTTAACCAGTTTGCATTTTCTGTTCTATTTTATTTATATGAATTAACATTAGTAAACTATTTTGAAAGTCAGAAGGCTGTGCAGTTCACAACTGGGGTTCCTCACAGAGCTTTACGTCTCACAAAAGTCTTCTGGCTCCTAAATGTACCTTTAAGTTCACAGTCAAACCAGTGACATGAGTTTTAAACAATAAATGAATTGCAAATGTATGATATGAACGAACTGCCTCATAAATTCAAATATTATTAATCAATAGTAAGAGGCTGCAAAGACTGAGAATCACTTTGATTTTATATTCCCAACAAACACGTGAGAGTCATAAAAGCATTTATCCACAATTCCACACTAAACCCACCAAAACATTGCTGAAGGGAAAAGCTTTATCTCAACTACAAAAGCAGCGACAAAAGTATCAGGAGAAAAATCCTGGGTGAAATTCACAATTGCACATAAAATTACCAAAAAAAAAATCCGCCTCCAAGTACGTAAATTTTAATTAGTTTGTCGTTGTGCCTCAAACAAGGAAACCAAAGCCACGTTTCCAGTTGTCACATCAGGACCAAAGCAAGGAAAAGCAGGGGAAAGGAATGGTGGGCTCCTTTATTCACCAGGCTCTTCCCTGTCAAACCTCCACTCGTTTTGTTTACAGAATTTTAGGTCTCATTAAGACCTTAATGGAAACAACATGATTTCTTCCCCCACCCAAAGCGTGTTTTTTATCCTTAATTTCTCTGTAGACTTAGCAAGGACCATATTTCTGAGCTTGCACTGGCATTAAACAAACCACAAAAAGAGTCTGGGGAAAGACAGGCAACGATTTTTGAGCCTATTTCATATATTCCCCCCCTTTAATCTCAGCCTTTTAATCTTGCCTCCATCTCAACTCATTTCTGGCTGATAAATTTGTGCAGGGGGTGACTGCCACAATCCCCTGCCAAAAACTCTTCTTCCAGAGCCTCTGGTGCTCTTAGAGCCCCATCAGGCAAAATTCTGAGCTGTGTCATAATCTACATTTGGAAATGGGGTTTAGGGAGATGCTTCAGTAATTAGAAATTCTCCAGGGTTAAGGCAAAGTCCCCTTCTTTCCTTTGCTTCTCCTGGGTCAGCTCCCAGAAACCCCATAACTGTCCTCAGCCTTTCCCTAGAGAGGTTGGTGTCCCAACGAAGCTCTGAAGAAATTCTTCCTGCTGGACATAATATTTTGGCACAGACACAAGGGCTGATGAACGTGGAACCAACTTCCAGCAGCAAAACCAGGAGCCATGGACAAATATTCCAACAGACACTGACAGGAACAGCTCAGCAGCATCTCGAGCTAAATTAAAAACAGGCAGAAAACCCCCAACCCCAAAAGAACCAAAGCCCCAAAACCTCCAAGCTGAAAGTTTTTAGATTTTCTAAGATGTTCCCACTTCCCCAGTTCTTGCTGCCCAAAACTTGGACCACCCGACCCTCATCCCATTAGGAAATGGAGGTGATGTAGCACTGCTCAAACACTGAACCAAGCTCCAAACCCAAAAAACTTGTTAAAAACTTGCTTCTTCTCCTGTCTTTATTCTTAGAACGTGCTGCAATTTTTCATATTAAACCAACCCCCCCCCTATTATTTCAAATATCCCGATTTTAACAGAACTGTTTCCCGTGGCAGGGGGTTGGAACGAGATGATCCCGAAGGTCCCTTCCAACCCAAATCATTCCATGGGGGTTTTTTTTCTCAAGTGAAATCAGCTTTTCTTTTTCCAGTGCCCATTTTATTTGCTGCACCTCTCTCTCCCTGCAGTACTTTACTGCCTACTCACTGCTAATCTGGCTTATTTTCCAGAGGTCATCATCGATGTTTTCTGTCTGTAAGCAACTTAGTGCTCCAATAATAAAGGAAGCAATATAGAATAAAAAAAAAAAAAAGAGCCTTGTTTGGAAAGACATTGCAGTAATTTCTGCCCACTTAGAAATAATTTATTTTTTCAACTTCCCTGCTACTTAAAAATTAAATGCACTCTCAAAGGTAAAAAAGAAATCAAGAAGGTGAATGCATTTCTTTGCAATGCTCGGTGGTGAACACACATCTCATGGTTTGGAAGTGAAATTATGGGGGTGGAAACCTATGGATCAGCCATGCAGGTAAACAAGTAAATTAATCCAAAATTAAAAAGTCTAAGCACAGAGTTATTTTCAGCCAGGACAGCAAATGGATTTATAGGCATGCTGGGTTGGAACTGGGAACTCACCAGGGAGCTTTTATGGAAAAACATCCTGCTCCAAACAGGTAAGGTCTTCACGGAAAGGGGAAAAATGCACAGAAATTAGATGAAAACTCCATTCCCAACAAGTCCACTGTACATCATGCCATTAAGATTTACTCAGAAAGTCCCCAGAATAGCTTGTGGAACCCTTCCTGATGCCCTGTCCTGGAAGCAGCACCCTGAGCTCCCACCCAGCACAACCCCCCGGGAAGGCTCCTCATGCTGGGACACGGGGAATGCATCCGTGCAAGCTGGGCTCGGGGTTACAGCTCGGGTTAGACTCAGCTTAGGGCTCCTTCCTCAGACCTGCTCACACATCTGAGGCAGTGTCAGATATTAAAGCCAAAAGTGACAGGAAAATTAGCACCAAACCCAACAAATCTGTGGGTGTTTTCCGAGAAACGCTGAAGGTCCGAGTGAGGCAGTTTTACAAATTTACCGGGAGGAGGCAAGTCCTGAGTAAAAACAACGACAGGTACGAGCACAAGGAATCCAAAATTAAAAAGCCTAAAGCCCCCTTTTAGGGGAAATCACTCCAGCCTTTTGCCAGGACAGAAATACACCTTAAATTCAAGATCTTTAGCAACTCTGTGACCCAGCAAACCTTCTTCCCCCACACCAAAGCTTGCACAGATGCAGGAGGGAGAACCCTGACTTGGTTCAGAGGTATCTGATGTTCAAATCACCAGACATAGAGCTGAGTGCTTTTGGCCACCCCAACCATTTATCTACACTGTGGTTTTATTGTCATTTTTGTTCAGGTATTTTGCACAGTGGACGGTTTTTAAAGTGGCATCACCCCCATGAATCCGAGGGCATTTTCAACGGGTATCTCCCTTTAGAAAGCCATTGCCACACTGACATTTGCATAAAATCTGAAAAGGAGGAGCAGGAGGCAAATTTGGAGCTACTCACATGCTCAAGGCTTCTCTGATTCTCATTTGGGCTGTGACATCAGCCCCAAAATCGCTGACTAATTGATTTTGTAAATGCCGATGGCTCGTTTTCCTTTCTACACCCTGACTCAGCCATAAATCCTGGCCAGTTGAAACAGGTGGAATATTTTCAGGCAATGAACTCCCAGAAAAGGTGCAGCACTAAAGCACTCAGCCATAGGCCTACACAGTTAAAAGGATACCAGCCTGATAAAAAAGGATTCGGTGAACTAAATCTGACAGAAGCACAACATCAATGAATGAAGGCATCCTCCCAAAAAAACATTTAGGTGGAGGTACAGACCCAAAACACACATCCCTCAACATGTAAAGATGTAAAAACCCAATAAAGAATAGAATATTGCAGAAAACCCACTATTTTTAATTAGCACTATAGGCAAAAAAATAACGAAGAGCTTCTGAG